GCATAAAAATAAACTACTCTCTGCTTACTTCAGCTGCAAAACAAAAAGTGCTACTGTATCCTGGAAATAATTTATTAGTGTTATGACGATTGGATCACCTGCCATTATAGGTGATGTCATTACATCATTGGTTATTTTGTGATGACAAGTTAATATTACGACGAGCCTTGATCTACTACTCATACAATACTTCATTGCATTAAAGATTCGTCACGAATTTGTATCGACATTATAACTAACACGAGCATTCACTGTGGCAAGTTTGCAATGCTAAGTTACTGTTCAACACACTGCGTGGTATACCTATTTTAAATTTTTTTATAAAGGTAACTTTATAGGTTAAAAGAGCAAACAAAAGTCGTAATATTCACCGTTAATATTTAAGTATGATTTGAAAAGGTGTGTCAGAACACTTACAGTGCTATTAATAAACTAGGTTTAGCATTGGAGTAAATTTACGCAAATTTGCAATTTTAGTAGATACTAAATTCATATTATACAGAGAATAAGCAAACCTACTACCTTCTAGGAGTAAATATTACTCCCGTACTAGGTTATCCTTTGCTAATTCTCTGTTTAAAATTATGAATTTTGACAAATACTAAATGCAATCTCGACTTAAATTTACTCTAATGCTTTACCTGGTTTATTAATAACACTGTTACTATATTATACCTATATCGATACTGGAAATATCAATTAATGTAAGGGACATTTTGACCAAAATGAGTTATTAAATATCATCGAATTCAAAATTTTCCGCCCTATCAAAACATTACAAAAATTTTGACTTTCTATGTTGTGTTTTTTTTTTAAATGATTTATAGGATATTAATTTGTCGCATGTCTTATAAAAATAATGTAAAGTATTTTAATAGAATAAGACGTCCCTTATGTGAAAGATTATCGATATAAGAATTCTTTATGGTTAAATTCGCAGAACACAGAAAGACCTCTTTTCCGTGTTCTGTGATTAAATTCATGTCCCTTACTTTAGTTTAAAGTTATCGTTTTATCAGCGTTATTCCATTACATATGATAAAGCATATTAGGCTCAATAACTAATGTTAAAATACTTTCTCGAACAATCTATAAATCTATTGATTATACAAATTAATTACCTTTCCTTTGGACATACATACCTGTGGACAGTATGCACGCAATTATTGAGAGAGAAGTTAAAAAACTTATAGTTTGGGCCACCTTCTCAATGGCCAAGTTTTATTGAATCTTCCAGAAAACACCCTAAGCCATATCATGTAGACGTTTTGGAACATACATGTTTTATTTATTTCAATAATTTAGCAGCACTTGGCATTGCAAATTGCAAGTTTTTAAAAATAAAGATCTATGCATGACACATATTAGAATATGTACATATAAAAAACTTAGAATAGAATAGAAGTCAAATATACTATGATAGAAAATGGAACAACTTACAATATAGAACTGTCTAAAGAAACACAAGATAAGGGGAAAGCTACAGGGGTTGGAAAAAAAACTTCAACAAGAGGTAAACATAAAAGTGAATTAAATAGTGCAAATGAAATTATAACAAGGTAGTAGTAATATATTAATCTCAAAAAGACAATGAATACAATGATCTCAAAAAGTTGTGCGATTCTGGAATAATTCCAAAAAGATTTAACAGTTGACAATAGTAAGGTACGAGCAATGATTTTTTTTTTGTGTAAGGTATATGCTATCTTTGAAAGCGCCTTGTTCTCCACAATTTGACTACTATAGCTAAAAGAAGGAAAAATCTAAGGATATTTTTTCTATAAACCAATTGAATCGGACTTAATTGTAAAAAGATATCTTTTTACAATTAAGTCCGATTCAATTGGTTAAAATAACGTTTTTAGCTCTCCTGAAAAATCGTATCTTGCCCTATACCTTTCATTAATTGATATTTCCAATATCAATGTGCAGCTACATTATTAAAAATTCATAAATTTCTCAAATCAATTAGACTTCTCACTTTGAAATCAATATTAACCAAGAAAAATTAAGTCAGCTTTGATATATATAAAATATTTCTTTCGGCTGTTTGAGTCGATTGCCTGAACATTGATGAAAGTACACTAGTAGTGAAAAGTAATAAGTTCTTGAAAAGTTCGTCAATCCTCTTAGGTCTTGGGTAGCTCAATGATTAGAGCAGTTGCACGGATAGTAAAAGGTGTTAGTTTGATTCCCGTCCTAGAGGCTGGTGGATTTTTTAAGCGTTTTTCATTAGAGAGAATATAAGATATACATATATATAGATTTAGGATCAAGTACATCATTTAGGAATATCTGAAATTGACAAGATAAATGATCAAAATTATTGCCAAATAGGTCATAGTCATAGATATTCATAGTGCTGAGCAATATGTTAATAGAATATTCTTTTGAATATAAGCCGGTATTACAAAAATGTTATATTTATCAATTTTTTTGAGGATAAAATGTAAATTTCCTGTACAACACACATTCACAATACGTTTTTCTGAGTAAAAATGTTGAGTAATCTATACTACCATTTTAAAGAGTTGACTGTTTGTTTGTTTGCATTATTTAGGTAGGCTCCGAAACCGACTGTTGGTAAACAGGCCTATCTCGTGGCCCTAAACTCAAGGAAAACAGACCTTTACTAGCCCCGTGCACCTGATGAAGATTGCAAGTACAAATGATTATAAGTTATGGTCACCCTTCCAGCGGCAGGCCTAAGCAAAAATAGTTCAACATTCGCAATCACAAATGTAACCACTAAACTCTATAATGTGTTTGCTGTGGATGCAAAATCACTTAAAATTAAAACAAAACGTTAAAAATTATCTAGCAACCTTGACATTAATTATTTTGTACAGTTTTTAGTACTCTGATACGAAGTTTAATACCTAGACTTTAAGGCCAAATGGTGATAATGATAACACTAAATTTAAAAATAGCAACATTATCTGTAGCACCAAAAACTAAGTTTAATTATTACAAAGAGGAAAGATTTGATTGTTTATTGGTTTATATATTTATGACAGAAAAGCGATACTGCCTAATACCAGCACTTATATTTTTGTTTAAAAGGAAGCTCCAAACCCCTCATGTCATGTAGATATTAAGTTTAGAAACTTTCTTTTTTATTATTATCTCACTATTGTTTGTTTGCATTAAATAGGCTCTAGAACTATTGTACCCATATTATAATTCTTTCATATACGGGAAGCTACATCATACACAGCGGGTGACATAGGCTATAATATCTTCATCATCAACCCATATTCGTCCACTGCTGGGCATAGGCCTCCCCGATTGCACGCCATCTAGTTCGATCCTCGGCTGTTCGCATCCAGCTCCTGCCAGCCATCTTGCGCAAATCATCGCTCCACCGTGCCTGAGGACGTCCTACACTACGTTAGCCGAGCCACGGTCTCCACTCAAGAACTCGTTTACCCCAACGGCTATCGGTTCTGCGGCTAATATGGCCAGCCCACTGCCACTTCAGATTGCTAATACGGTGGGCTATGTCGATAACCTTGGTTCTCTGCCGGATCACCTCATTTTTGATTCGATCCCGCAGAGAAACGCCGAGCATAGCCCTTTCCATAGCCCGCTGAGCGACCTTCAACTTGTGGACCAGCCGTGCCGTCAGTATCCACGTTTCGGCTCCGTATATCATAACGGGTAGATGTCATAGGTAGGATGGCTATAATATACGAGGACGAATTTGCGGGAAAACACTTACTTATTTATATACTATTAATTATTGTAACAAAATAAAAGCTTTCCGCCGGCAAACCTTTCTCTTGAATAACTTTGTATATTAATGTTTGAAAGATCTCAGCGTACAGACAGCGGGAAGCGGCTTTGTTTGAATATATGTATTGGTAGATATTTATTCTAACGTTTAAATAACCTATCCGCGAAAAGTATAACATATGTCGCCCGCGTAAGATGTAACTTTTGAGTAGGTTAACGAATTTTTTAAATCGACCTAGCTGTTTCTGAGTCTATTATTGAATAGACTCAGAAACAGCTTTGCGTTGGCAAAGCCCGGCCATAGGATGGGCAATCAAAAATGTATTACTAGGAACTCCTTCGTGCTTCGAAAGGTCCCAGCTGCATCTGTATTCGTTAATACCCATCAATACGCACTATGCCTTAACGGTTAGCGATGGCTCATTCTCCCTGGTGGTACGAGCCCTGGGGACATTAATAGGCTGATGATCATGATAATCAGATGACAGAACGAACAGACAGAACGTGGAACCTCAACATGTGATTTGCAGAACTTTAGAGCTTCGCTGAGCACACATCTTCTTTGAAATGAATAAACTGAATAAACACGCAAATACTTCGTGAATTATAAGTTTACCACATTGAGTATATCTGCTAAAGATTGATACTAGTCTTTCATTATTTGACTTTGAGTAAAAGTGTCGATATGTCATGGGGTCAATGATTTGTGGCGATAATACAGTATAATGCCTTCAGGGTAATTCAAACAATTACACATTATAGAACAGTTATAAAGCCCACTTATTTCAAGTCCGCTATTAATAAACACTGACAACTTTCAGTCTGTTAACGATATTCTAGCTGTGTGGTCTGTGATATTTTTTAAAGAACTTTTTATAAATAAAATAAATAATTTTTAAGTGAAACTTTAAAAATAATATTAGAACATTTTTGTGATGTTTTTATTATGCAAGATATTTTTGTCCAAAAGTGTGAAAATTAAAAAGTGAATCCTATTTGATTATAATTATAATTAACGGCTAAAGATTTGTGTTTTTTTGTTAGTTATTATACAGGAAATCTAATAATTACGTTATGTTGATAAGAAAACCTTACACATTATGGAGAGAAATTAAGAAATAAGTAAAATAAATATTAAATTATCAATTGTATGTTCTCAAATTAATTTTGAAATACCGTTTAAACACTATCGAATGAATCAACGAGTACTGTGGTTGTATAGCTTAGTCTACCATAAGTACTGGTTGTGGTAAGATCTAAGCGCAATGAAGCTCAACTTGATATTAACTTTGGTGCTTACAGCAAATAGTGGATATTGTAAAAATGTAAGTAATTATTTAATTTTAATACCTACTCATTGTGAAAGTAAGCAATATACAAAGGTTTAGTTTTTTTTTTAATATAGGTTGATTTTTTCTGACTTCTGTTGCGATGGTTTATACAATAGTTTTATGGTGTCATCTCGAGGATCCAGGTACAATTTTATGCTAGAGAACTGTTTGCCCAGAAATATAATTTTGTTCTATTTCGAAAGAGTTTAAGTTTCTTCAGATGCAAATATAGCTAGAATCAACAGCATAACGTTGTTTTGGTGGTTTAAGGAGCTCCAAATTGGCCAAAGCTCAAAATACAGCCAGACCTTTAGTATAGTTCTAAATATGTATTTTAAAAGAACAAGAGTAACTTAACGGTTCGAACGAAAGATACATAGTACTGGGGGCCAATTCTACTAAATAAATTTTGTTTAAATCGAATCGAAAACGGATCGATACCGAACGAAACTACAGTTTTTAATAGTTTTCCTATTCTACAAAGTGACATACGATACAATTCCAGTTCTATTTTAGCTGTACTTTCGTTCGGTTTCGATCCGTTTTCGATTCGATTTAAACAAAATTTATTTAGTAGAATTGGCCCCGCGATCACAAGGCTAGCATATGCAGAGCTGGAACCGTTTTTTGACAAATGTTTTCCTTGTTTTGTTTCTTTTGTTCCAAATAAATGTATTTATTTATTATATAGATACGTAAGTTTGGGTTATTCATTTCATGACTCGACTGGACTTCCATAAGATAATGCCTGTTTTATTAAATACGCGATAAAACTCCTTCGGTAGCAGCCATCCATACATACCATCCTTATGAGTTTGCGTGGAGTCCACTCTCATAGGGATTAAGTGCAATCCCAATAGATACTTGTATCACATCTGTGACTTCGCTGGGAAGTTACCATCACCTCTTAAAGCAACATTTAATCCGTGCAATGACCGGAGCAGTGCTATACGGAACAATAAAAGCTTCACGGATTAAGAATTGCGTTAAATTCCCATGATAAGGCTCCTAATATATGTGAATCGAACTTAAACCACGACAAATAAGTTATTGTATTGCATCACGTCTATTGTAAAATATGACATAAGTTCGAATACATTTGCGACACTCTATTTAACTAAAACAAGCATGTCAATCACTCTGACGTAATCGATCTCAAATCTTTATAATCCCATATTTACCACTAGAGTTTACATTTACTGATCCCTATGATGAAAATAGCTAGGTTTCTCGAGTTTATTATTAATCAAAAGACACCTGATTGGTGGTAGATAAAAATCTTAGATTATTCAAAAATTCTTTTAATAAGCTTATTTGTTTTAAGAATAATATCGCGATTTGATTGAAATCAACTGATCTCTTTTATATTTGCACTCTGAATGCAACATCGGAAAAAAATCTGTTGCACAAACTAGACTAAATTTGGTTTAGGTCCTGTCACACTGTTTTTTCAATTGTGATTACAACTGAGATAGTAGAAAAATGTTTAATAAATTCACTAGTCACAGGTGTCCCGAGATGGGACTCGAAACTAGTACGTTTCGCAATCCAGGCGAGTGCTGTAATAATTGTGCTACCTGAGACTGAACAGAACTGAGAAATTTCTCAAGCATTATTGCATTCTACTACTAATGAGCGTATTTTCATAAATATTTTTTATTAAATTTGAATTTTTCATTTATGATATTTATCAATATAGCATTGTGAATTCATTGATCAAATAAACCTACATATAGGAGTATAATTTCATTCCTTTGATATAATGTGACTATGAAATATTCTTAAAACAAACCCAAAATTAAAGTTATAAATATTTTTGTTTAGTTAAGAGAGTGGAACAACAAAATTGGCACCAATATAAGTCTATGTAGGCTCTGAAAATTCCATCTTGTGCCGACCATTTTTTGGAACTGGATAAAAAATATTTATTTTGAACTTCAGGCAAATAATAACAACAGAAGAAACTCACAAGAGTCATCATCTATAGAATATTACACAAAACTTGAACACCGTACGACAATACCGGTGATCATTCATTTCGACAAAGCGCTGACGGATCGACTTGCGAGAGAACGACAAATAAAGTCTAGAAAAAAACTGAAGGAAATATCTAAAAGTATTTTGAAAGAAGTAAGAATGTTTTTAATACTTTATTGTACGAGTATAACTAATCAATAATTATTACATTTGATCAATTTTGCAATCACAGTATTATAACCCACAACCCTCGCGATCCGGTCTACTACTCTAAATCTTGTTACTTGTCGATTTGGCTACGAATTCTGCGGTGACCCAGTAAAGAAAACGGTATTTTCGAGAGTAATGTTTCCAATTTCAATATTGTATCTGCAAAGCAATAAAAGCATTGGTGTCATTCTAAATTATTACACGAACATTTTATAAATTACTATCCCTTTTCATCAACTCCACCTCACTATCACCTGCGTATAATGTAGCTTCCCGTAGGTCCTCAGGACATGGCAAAAAACGGCTAGTTATGACACAAGTTAAATTTTAAATAGTTAAACTTTTATATTTTTCAGGTTGAAAGCTACTATCGTCATCCTAGTCTGAATCATAGCATTCACCTTTCGTTGCTAGATACAAGATTTTTAAGAAAAAATTTGATCGAATTGGACGAAAATGCGTCTACTTACCTGAGGAAATATTGCACTTGGCAAGGACAGAGGAAGCGCAGGGGACAAAGATGGTGGTACTCTGTACTGTTGACGGGATTGGACCTTTATTATCTGAGCAATAAAGGCGAAAAAGTTAGAAGTAGTACAGGTAAAAATATTAATCATAAGTATTATATATTATTAAGGCATTTTATACCATTGAGGATTAAGTGTACACATTGGGCGTTTTGATCGCGCATTATAAATATCGTCCAATAGATCCACTAGAAGGATTGCTCAGAATTTTTGTCATAATATGACAAAAATTCTGCTAGCAACGCACAAGTAATTGGAGATATTCGTGGCGTACAGGTAAATGTTTTAACAAATTGTGTATCAAAATGCGTCTCGTTTGTACTTCATGGGATATGAATGTAGAAAAAAAATTACTTTTTTATTACACCCCAATACCACACATTGTTACAAAGAGAATTGATCATATAGCACGCATCACGTCACACATTTAAAGTGAAACTGTTAATCAGTGTTCTCGTGAATGATCAAACTTTCAATTGTTTTAAATTAGCAATTCTGGATGGCCTAGAAAACTAAATCGACCTTTTTTGCTGATGGTATGGTATGTCATCATCTCGATATTTTTTAAGACGAAAAGGTAACTCTGTCCTGTATCATTGCCGCCCGCAATGAGAAAAATAGAGCAGAGTTCCATACTCAAAGGATTAAAACACTCTCACGGTTTATGAGGAAGATCTTAATGATCTTCCTCATAAACCGTGAGAGCTTGACAACAAAGCACAAATTATCACAACTAATTATTTGCTGATGCCGCTATAACAAAAAATACTAAGAATTGAATGAAACAAGATATGATTTATATAGATTTAGATCGATATTTTTAAGATACGACAAACGTTTTTTGGCATTTTCTAAAGGTTATTACGGAACGCTTTGTGTGCAAGTGCGACTCAATCTTTTGTGGTTATTAGTTACTATTTTTAATTTATCACGATTATTCTATCTCTTATTAAGTAGCTCGGTGGCGTAGTGGATAAGCGCTGCTACCCGCGATCGTTGTCGTTAAGCAACTTTCGCAAGGGTCGGTCACGGAATGGGTGACCAAAAATTATTATCTCGAGCTACTCCGTGCTTCGGAAGACACGTTAAGCCGTTGGTCCCGGCTGCATTTGCAGTCGTTAATACCCTCCAATCCGCATTGGGCCAGCGTGGAGGGTCATGGCCCATCCTCCTTAACCATCCATAAGGAAGGCCTGAGCCCCTTGCAGTGGGGACGTAAAAAGGGCTGATGATGACGATTATTCTATCTCTTCTATTCTTAACCCTACGGGAACTTTTATAGGACTGATAAAGCTAATATAAAAAGTAGGGGAAAGTAACCAAAAACGAAATAGTATGAATATTTGAAAGAAGATCATTCTTTATTGTAATTTTCCAAAACAAATCCATTATTAATCGATCGCAAATTTCTTGAACTTACGAGTATTTACATAAAATAACCACAGTTTTTCTCGTTAGAAATAACTTAAGAACGTATTTTAATACGAGTATTTTCTTCTTCAATAGGGCTTTTCTTATATACCATATTAGATTTGTATTCTCTAGCATTTTAAGAAGTAACAAACAACCACTTTCGCTTAAATAATATTAGTATAATATAATTCCAGGACGCGGATACTTAGGTGGCATCTGCGCCATCAATAAAAGTTGTACTCTATTAGAATGGAACCCTAAAAATATTGGCTTCCTTCTCGCACACGAGATAGGACACAGGTGAGTTTTAAACTGTTATTGTATATTTTTCCTATGTAGCTAAATAAACATGAACACAATTAATGAATTTTGCACCATTTTATTTTACACCATAGACCATCGTTGTAGTTTCTGTAATACTATGTTGATTATCGTTATATAACTACTCTAGTATAAGCCATAGTAAAATATTTGAAAAAAGGGGAGAATGGGTTATGCTCCACCACGCGGGTCTGCACCTACTAACAGCTTAACGTGCCTTCTGGAGCACGAAGGAACTCGATATAATACATTTTCGGTCACCTATTCTATGTCTGGCTATTGCGAAAGTTGCTTAATAACCACGTCTTGAAAGTATTTTTAAAACCAGTCCAGTAGTTCCGGATTCTATTCAATGAAAAAAAAACAACTAATAATCAAAGTAAAACACCTTTATTGTTTCAGTCTAGGAATGAATCATGACGGCCGTCCACATAACGCTTGCAGGCCTCGTGTCAATATCATGAGTAATAAATATCACCCTCTTCGTCATCCAAGGAGCTGGTCCCAGTGTAACAAGGACGATCTTCAAAGATTCCTATCGTATGTAAAAAAAAGTTTAAAAATTAAAGATAATTAAGTACTTGGGTATTGCAAATAATGTAGTAAATTTCCAGCTGTAAGTTAGCGCTGATCACGTGACCTGTAGAGCAATGCTGCTAAGTTAGCGTAATTATGCAAAGGTAATAGCACTAACGTAGTAATTTTCCAGCTGAAAGTTAGCGCTGATTAGCGTAATTATGCAAAGTTAAGAGCACTTCAACTACAACTCTTTCTAAGACACAGTTCTTGTTATTGCATCACAAAATAATAAATATATCTATCACCATTGATTTGTAAGGAAGACATTGCATTAATAATATCGAACTTCAGGTAGATAGTACAAATGGCAAGTAATTGAGATTTTATTGAGATGCTACAGTTCGCAGAATTGAGGCCCAGCATATTCTGAGCTGAAACTGTTGGGACAAATTAGTTTCCTTCTTCATAAGACGTTTACAGTGAGGAGTTTTGCTAGGTTTGTTAACGTATATATATGCGATTTTGTGTACGGACGGTGCACAGCTAGGTTCCAATTTTTTTTATTTTAAATTATATCGCAACCCTTTCAATTTGACATTTAGAAAATATTCACCAACTTCATGCTTTAAACAACTATTTGACATATGATAGCGATTGCTATCGAGATTTTATTAGCGATTGATCGTTAATTTGACGTTAATTAAAATTGTCTAAGCAAAATTATGAATACTTGAAAGCTATTGAGAAATGCCAAACGAAAGAATTGAATGCTAAATCATCATCATTATCATCATCATCAGCCGTTTTACGTCACCACTGCAGGGGATTAGGCCTTCCTTATGGATGGGTAAGGAGAATGGACCCTCTATGCTGGCCCAGTGCGGATTGGAGGGTATTAATGACTGCAAATGCAGCCGGGACCAACGGCTTAACGTGCCTTCCGAAGTACGGAGTAGCTCGAGATAATATTTTTTTGGACACCCATCCCGTGACCGACCATAGCGAAAGTTGCTTAACAACAACGATGGCGGGCCGCGGCGCTTATCCACTACGCCACCGAGCTACTCGAATGCTAACTGCAATCTGTCAAATAGTTCAACTAAGTCTTTTTTTTATTTCTTGATCATTCAAATCAATTAATAAAAATTTAATGTTACAGGAACAGAAAAAGCTGGTGTCTGAGAAACCTACAGTATAAAACACAATTGACAAGACATAGATACTAACGAATTAAGATAATAATGATATTGAAGAAATAATTAAATTTCAATAAATTTGTCAAGTTGCGTTTTCTTTGATTCTTGTATCTTAAAAACAGTCACACTATCGAATGTAGTACAAATTATTTAAAATGTTCTTCTTATTACGGGTGTCTTCGCAACTCGAAATGTCCTAGGTCCACCATGAAACGCTCCCAGCAACTGTATATTATTAGTGCTTTTGTGTAAATTCAATCTTCAATCAAATGAAACATACATCAAAAGTAAATAAAGATTATATTTCATCGACGCTTCATGACGTGACAGCGCTTTTTTTAAAGAATAGCATAGCTGAATAAGTTTCGTGAGTGAAATACTTCAATAGAGTTATCTACTAACGCCTAACTTATATTAAAAGCAAAAATGTAATGCTTTAATATCGCCTTCAATAAAACAAATTCAAACTTTCAATCTCAAATGTTCAGCAGTTTGGAGTAAATTGGCTGAACAGTTGTCAGCTGATAGACGAGCTGTCAGATTGCCAGATGAGTGATTCTATAGTGCAAAGATGAACTTTATCAGAGTTAAGATCCCCTTTTTATGAACGAATATTTTATCGCCCCTATGTGATCTATCAATTACTTATTTCTTGAAATTTAGTAACATATATTAGAATTGAAAAGAAAAATTGGCATAGTGAAGATTGATGGGTGCAATCGACCGAAGATGCTGCTAAGGTTAGGAGACTAGGCATAACATATTTCCGAAGCAAGGAGGAGCACAACCTATTAAGTTTTATTCACCTATCCTATGATCGGCCCTTGCGAAATTTGCTTAATTTTCACAGACCAAACGCCAACCACTGCACCATTGAGGTTCTCAATATTATATGATACCGCGATATCTACAAAAGTAGAAAGATTGTGAACTTATTTATTAATGTTTTCTATTTCAAAACCGTTGATTACCATGTCGACATGCGCAAATCGCTACACCAAAACATCACTTTCTATGGCAATATCCGCGAATGTGTGCGTCCTAGCATGAACAAATTGTTACAATTCATAAAATTCGGGGCACGCGCATAGTCCTAGAGTGGAGCTTCTTTTATACAACCTTTGTATATGAAATGTTTTTATTGTATATTGTGCCAGAGGCTTCTGTGGGGTGCAAATCTTCAGGCTTTTCCAAATTTTCAATAGCCTTCGTCAAACTTATAATTTATTTTAAGACTGGTTTTTTAACGCGCAGCTGAAACTACTGAATGGATCAAGTCGAATATGCCACATAATAAATTATTAAGATGTCAAATTTGGCTATGGAAGGTTTAAAAAAATATAATCGCAAAAAAGTTTGATAAGGGTTTAAAATTCATATAATTCACTCGTGCGATGCCGCGGGCGAAAGGCTTATAAATCTATACTAATACTTTTGTTTATTTATTTTTAAACAAATTTTTGGTTCAGTTTCATGCTATGAACTCCAATAAACGTGTACTGATATTATGAAGAGGTAAAGTTTCTATTTTTATTTGCTTTAGGCGTTAATCTTCGGAAATCGTGGAAATTATTTTACTTACAGGAAGCTACATCATACGTTGGAGATTATGGGCTATGATTTACGCTGGCGAAGGCGCAGTTTTGTGCAGCATAATATGTAGCGGGGCTCTAGGTCTATCTATTCAGACTAAATTAAATGGAATTAATTACTGTATCTTATTCTTTAAACTTTAAAGTCCAAATTCGAACATGAGATGTTTTTCTTTTCGGGTCATATAACACGAATAAATAAAAGCATATTAGTATTCGTTGGTATGAACAAAACCGAAAGTCTCTTAGTTTTACAGGGAAAGTGTAAGATTGAGTGAAATTTTATTTATAAGTACAATAAATGTTCACGAACATGTTTCACTTTTCATCGTAAATACTTAGATAGTAAAGATTGATTGAATGTTTAATGGATCCTTTCTCTAATGTCATATTTATTATTTTCATTTAAGTAACCATATTTATAATATAAGTAGTGCAGAAAATGTTATAAATTAACTTTTACATCGGTGTCGTTTGTCATTAATTAATAAGAAAATATAATAGGTATCTTTTTTTTAATGGATTACTCTAATGAAAGTTTGTTTGCTTTCATACTTTTTTGTTTGATTCACAATCGCTTAAATTTTATACAATCAAAATTTATGCTATTCAACTTTTACTCACAACTTCCTCTTCATTCGCATTCTCTTTCGGATTAAGTAATTTTATTTTGCAAATCCCAATTTTTCAAAATTATAAACAAATCAATCACCGCACCAAGCTTTTTCTGTCTAGCTAAATCTCTAGCTAGAAAGAGATAGACAGAAGGACAGGTTACTATCGCAGTTTTATTATTAGTATATATAAAACGTTTGATTAAAGTTTGGGAAGATTCACAGTATCAAGATCAGAACGCAGTTAAGCTATAATATAAAAGAAAATTAAAAACTTTACCACTCTAAATGGTGTCATGTGACAATTCATTTAACCAGCAAATGATCAAAAAACTTGCATCGATACCGTATTTGTTAATTTACGATAAGTAGTTAAGAATTTATGATAAAAAAGAAGAATATACAAATATTATAGAAAAAATCCATAAGATCTAACCGGCTTCACAAAGTATTCATACGTTTGTTGGAGATTGGCATTTTTCCGTTCATTAATAGATCGTTTCATGGTAGATTATTTTCAAACATCGTTTCTGAAACGACTAGAACAAGCAACCACCTAAAAGCAGCATATGCTATAACATGGTCAAGAAACTCAGAAATCTCTTCATAAATATCGCTCAAAATCATAAACCTCCTTACAGCTTCGACCAACCTAAAAAAAACTGAGAAACAAGACGTTTAATGTGAAAAGCTGCTAGACCGTAACGACACAGTACTAAAGAAAATGTTCGTAACAAAGGTTTATGAAGACAGGGAAACATCTATTGAAGAGAAAGGCGGCAAACAATGGAGCAGACAGACAGGCAAGTCACGTGTGACGTATCGAATACGATCTGAGCTGCACGGGTCAGAGACGTGAACAAAAAATTAGTCCGGAAAAGCTGATTAATATTTTGTTATTTAGCTTTGACGTTGTATCGCGCCATTTCTTTTTTTAAATTTTTCAATAAACGTATCTGTTTTTTATTCCGTATGCTATTTGTTATTTGCTAGTTTTCTGTAATTCCTTATTGAAAAATACTCTAAAAATCTGTCTGCCTTCTGAATGATCTGTTAGTCAGTTAAACTGTCAGTTTTCACCCCAACCAAGCATTGTACGTTCTCGTCCTGTCTGGGGGGTTTTACGCAAGTATTCCTGAATCTCTCTCCCAACCCGCATAAAAATAAAGGTGAATGGTGTGGTAAGAGGTCATTTGGGCTGTTTCCGTCGAACATTAGATAGTTTTAGTAGGTATGCCTCCGCAATTTAACTAGTCGCCTAAGATGAGTAACCGAAGAAGAGTCCCACATAAACTCGCTGATCCGCGCTGAGAAGGCGAAGTAATATAACAATTTAAAAGTAAGCTTCGTTACAAAAAAAAATCATTTTGAAAGATCAAGCCTTCAGTTACACGATAGAGCTGTAGGTGCAACCATGCCATCTAGAAAAGCTGGATTTACCACATATGTTTCTTTAAGATAAACATATCTTAAATCAAATAAATGCTCTTTATTCAGTCTGGGTTGTTACAAATACTTTTCAATAAGTAATAGTATTTCTATACTATGCTGTAGGCACGCAAAACACGGTGGGAGATCTGCTACTGAGAAGAATCGGCAAGAAACTCAGCTAATTTCAGTTGCTTAACTCAGCTTATTTAATTTCAGTTGATTCAATAACTGGGGCCCTGGGTACTCCTAGTCCTGGGTGATTTTGAATCGTCAATTGTTTTTCCTACCACCCATTGAGCAATGGTATTCTGTTAAAAACCTCGACGTCGAGTGCAGTGCTAAGACAGTATAGAGTTTGAATAAAATAACAATTTGAATGCCTTTTGAAGTAGGTTTTATTCGATTGAATCTCTATGCTACGACAGAGCTATGCTAGACATGAACTTCTAGGCTGTTTATAACGGTATAGCACTGCAGAATATATTTTCACTGAAAAAGAAATAGATGTCGTTTTCAATATTTGTAGCGCTTTATTACATTCCTCCATAACACAATTAATACCATCAGTATATTAATGTCCCCACTTCTGGGGTGAAGGCATATCTATCACCATCATCATCGTCGTCATCACCAGCCAATTAATGTTCCCACTGATGGGACTCAATCAAATCTAATTTGGGAGAATGACCCACGCGGGATCAACATGGATTAATGTGCCTCATAAAGTACACATTATATCGCGATAGTAAATTTTGGATCACGAAGGAAGTGAAAATGCATTTTAACTAGTGTTACCGACAAAATTTTATCGATAAAATGATGTAGATTAATTCATAAATTTAGACGTATATGTTATCTATTTAGTATCTTTCATTTTACCATATTAGAAATAGAATCATAGAAAAAAATTGCAATAAATCAATTCTAATATAAAATGAAGTCTAGGATTTTTTTAAATGTAAAAACTTACTATGCAAAAACTATTCCAAAAGTTTTGGTTTTCTTGATTAAAAACCGGGTAATCGAGTATTTCGGTTATTTTTTTTCTGTTTTATTTGTAATAAAAACCTAAAATAAGAGGGTTTATACGTAAAATGCGTAGATTTATAATTAAATTCGGTTTATTTGAATGAAATCAGACCATATTTGTAACTCAAAGAATCATTAATTTAATAGTAATTTCGTTTCTGGGATGGCCTTTGAAGTGGAAGCCATCAGAAAGAAGGTTATAACTGAGTGAGTCACTCAGTCACCTGTGTTATTTCCTACCGAATAGCACAAAAAAGCCTTGGTACACTCTTTTTTTATTATCTATTTATTGACTACGTTGGCAAATGTTATACAGATCTAACGGAGGAGTTTCTTAATACCCTTGAGCATCTGCAGAAAGTTTGCACTAGATTCGTTTACAATCTCCATAAATATGACTGCTTTTCATACTTCCGTT